GTAACGTCACATACAGACAGTATGTCATCTGAAAAATTAAGAGTATAGCCCAACTGGAAACCTACCAGTGCACAGCCATTCATCTAAATATAAAAGAAAACATGAGCACTAATCTGAGAAGCATCAAAGAGGCTCGCAGTAACTCTGAGGAAGTTGCAGACATCTTCAGCAACTGGTAGAATCTATCAAAAATACAATGATTAGTTGTGCACTAAGATTCACAGAATGATAAGAGTGTTGTACAATATACGACCTTTCCAGTTTGAGGTTTTAATTCAACAGATCATGGAAATGTTATTTTGTTTTGGATTTCTATGATAAACCTTTAAGATCGGAGATAAAGAAAGGCTAAAAAAGTCAAACCTACATCCAGTGTCTAGATGTTTTCTTTCTGATGCAGAACCTCACAGAACTTCAATCTACATTCTTATTCCACAAGAGGAAAAAACATTTCGCTTGGTTTACCCTCAGTGTTGAACTTTTGATGTTTACGTCGAAATGTTCTCATTTCATCCCCTCTCCTCTCAGACCTCTTCTCTCCCCACCTTCGCCATTTTCCCAGCGGTGACAGAGACGGAGGACACAGGGATCTGTAATTAGCTGCTTGACCCTGGGGTTGGGTTGAGTGACCCCGGCAGCCGCGAAGCGCAGATCCAGCCTGATCAAATGAGTAGTTCTCAGGGATCAGTGGTTGAAAGACAGCCGCCTCCGCACCTCGGCCAAGTCAGTCACTTTAGCCAACCCCTTGCTGAGACAGGCACAGTTACAGGAGCCCAGCTGCTGAGGCCCAGACAAGGTCTCAAACACCTGTCTGGATGGTTTACAAATATACCGACGCATGCTTTTTGACTTCCTCCGACGGTGATGTGGCTGCAAAATACATTACCTGTCAGTGATGGATCAGGAAGGAGTGGAGGTGGGGGTAACCTGACCCCGTTAGGGGAAGGATAGGAGAGGGAGGGGGTGGGAGGCGAAGGAGGAGCAGTGTTGGCCCTTGGTCAAGTGCCTTGTACTCCAAACAGGCAGCATCTTGTTACACTTTACCTGAGAAGCTGAGCCTGGGGACAGGATTGAATAAATATAAAAACAGCTTGTAGACCACCCGTCCTTACAGCTTCACCTTCTCCGGATAGTAAAAATATCACTTTTATCATGTATAATTACATTTAAAAGGATAGAGTTCATCTAAAGTTACCCTTTTCAGATCCTCTGGTTCTAGTGAAGTTTTTTCAACTTTATACAAATTCAAAACAAATCAACTAAAATAAACTAATTTAATCTGTGAGGAAAAAAATAAAGTTTAAAAACTTAGTAGCATAAGTGTGCAATTTTTTAAACTAAAACCTTGTTAAAGATTTAGCATTCAGTCTACTCAAAAAAAGGCAGCAGCCTCCCACATGTGCAAGTTCTATCTTGAAAAAGTTTAACAAATCTGTTAGACCTGTGACACCATCTCTTTTATGAGTCCTCTTTAGATACCCACATTGCATCCACTTAACGCTGTGAATTTACAATAAATGATTAGAAATGTTTTGCATGACTTTCACAGTAGGGATTACAGCATTATACTGTTAAACATGCACAGCTATTTACTGTAATTCAGTACCTGTGATATTGCAATACATCGCTGTTAAAGCAAAACTGTAAACTCTAACGTTACAGCTTCAGTGACAATAAATTATTGTGATATTAGAATACATTACAGCACATCCTTTTCATAAACATCATTACAGTAAGACCCTTCACTTTTACAGTGTGTATTGTGAAAGTAATGCACATGTTGACAGTAATCTACAATGTCTAATTTATATCATGCTTTATATACTAACAGTTTACTGTGAAAGTAATACAAATGAACACTTTCTTCTATCATCTTTGTCAGGGTCGCTGTGAAGCTGGTGTCTATCTCCAAAGACAAGGTGCACTTTAGATGGGTCACCTGTCCATCTCAGGAACAACATAGAGACATACAACAATGCACCCACAGACACAAGGATATGGTATGCCAATAAACCTAACAGTCGTGTTTTTTGGACAGGAAGCCAGAGTACACAGAGAGAACCAACGCTTGCGCAGGGAAAAATCACACAAACTCCATGTAGGAAGAGCCTGGGCCAGGAATCAAACCCAAAACCTTTTTGCTGCAAGCCAATCATTCTGGAAAAAAAAGCCCCTCCACCCACACTGCGAAAACCATCTACAAATAAGTCAGCATTTCTTAAATTAAGTGTATTTACCTTTGATTTGAGTAGGTAAATAAGATGATCTGCGAATAGAATGAGTATTTTTACTCTTAAAATAAGACAATTAGATAATATGCACTTGAAATAAGAAAATGTCATTACTTTTTGATTTTTAAATTGGCAAAGTGTCTCACTTACCTCAACTGAAGAAAAAATGCACTTGTTTTATGAAAAAATTACTTATTTAGATTTAAATATTTTCCAGTGCACCCAAGGAACAACTCTAAAATAAAGTCAACATTACCCTAGGATGCACCTGTTAACGAGCAAAGATAGTTTCACTTAGATGTATTGCAGGTAGAATTTCTCAAAGTGTTCACCTGTGCATTTTCCCACATCAAACTCTAATAAACTTATAATCTAAACTTGTTCAGTCTTTCATACATTTTTTACCATACATTTCTTTTTGCCATTTATAGCCAAGTAATAATGCCCAAGCCCTTTTAAGTTTATTAGCTCTGGCTAAAATGGGGAACTCCATTGTTCAGGTGCTGAGAGACCGCTCATTAGTGGAGAATTGAGCTCTGAAACTTTACTTGAATATGGAGCAGAAGAGTAAAATGTACCGCAGCACACACTCACTCTCTTCCTAGCAATACTATCTAACAAATGGTGTGAGAAAAGGTTTAACATCGGGCACTTGCTAACAAAATATGAACTATGTCATGAGATAAATATTTATTTAAAAAGTAATGTAAATATTATCATATTAGAACAAATTAGTATATTGCTACAAACACATGCATGCTGCTTACCTTCTCCATTCAGCCAGGAAGAGGGTACCTGCACCTGAACTGGAGTATTTCACTGTATTAATACTATTGAATGCCGTGAAATCCTTGCATTTTTTCACTGTGCTTCTTTGATATTACAGACCTTGTTATTAGATTTTTTATTTATTATTTTTGATGGTGGGATTTTACTGTAAAATAAGAATTAAAAGCTGTAAAATCCAAGGAGACTAGTATTTACTAGTATTCATTGAGAAAAGATGTTACAGGGGAATCAATTACAACAAGGTACTGTAAAATAATACTGTTAATTATTGTGGAAAGCTGGTAATTTCTAACAGTGCAAGTGATTGTTTATATCTATTTATTTAGCTGTTCTAAAACCTGCTGATGAAATCACTATTTACTGATTTATCTGTTTGCTTATTCTCACTGTGGTACTGAAAAAAACTCCTGGTATGTTTAACTTTTCATTTCTCTTCCACTTTTACAAAAATACTTTAATTAGCTTTCAAGAAAAGTAGTCCCAGATCATGATGCTGCCAACAACGTGTTTCACTGGAGTTGAGAATATTGATGATGCCCTGTTTTTTTTTAGGTAAAATACAATACATAATTGAGAGAATTATATATATTCTCTTTGGAAAAAAAGGCCTCTTACTTTCCATAGTAATGCTTTGTCCAAATTTATGGAGAAAGCAGCAGATATTTGTCACATCTACAGCATTACCTACAGCCTTTGCTGATCAGCTTTCATGTTGCCTTTCTAAAAGAAATCCTAAATTCAGTGATGTCAATGTATTATCCAATCGTGGAAAACTGGTTAGCTCTGACATTTTTGCACCTTTCTACACGCTTTAGCGCATCTTAAGAGTATCCACATTTATAAAAGCAAACTTTTGTTGTTGTTGTTGCTGCTTTACCATTTTTCCTCCAAGAGATTTGACTGATTTTCAGATGAATAACGCAGAAATAAAAATGCAGATAGAGTGTCCTGACTCTTTTTTCTCATATTATTAGAAAGGGAAGGAGAGCCTCATAAAAAAACATGCTGGGAGAGATGTTCACCTGAGACAGCGCAGTCACCAACGCTCCGGGCACATCAGCGTGACCTAAATGCTGACAGTGTTTGAAGTTTGAAGAAAAAGCGACACAAAAGCATCTCGATCTGAAACTGTTGTCCTTGGGGAAGGGGGGGTGTAGAGATGGGAAGTAATGGAGAGGAAGACATGAAGGAGATAGAGAGAGGAGGACAATAATAAAAAAAAAAATTCCCACAGGCCTGCATGAAAGTTCAGGCCAGGCGTTTTGTATACCTGTTCTGTCATCTTATACCTCTTTACGTCTCTTAAGTCATTGTGTTTACACAAGCTGCTACTGCCGTCTCCCTGTTGTCTAACCCGCCGTGGCTGTTCCACCATCTTTCCCTTCTTTCTTTGTCTCTTTTCCTGCCTGTTGGAAATCTGCGAGGCTTGCTCGTCGACGCCAGCGTCTGTTAATCCCCTCCCAAAGCACCTTAGCAACGCTAGGAATTTAGAGATACTAAAAAAACACACCAACACACACACAACACGACAACTGTTCTTAACACTGGGCTCATATTGGCAAGAGTGGCCACATCTTGAGATGTGTGTGTGTTTTCCATAAGTAGTTTGTAACAATCTGGAAGGGTGTGATAACCAAGGATCTCTTAGGAGTGTGCATTTGTGTGAGTATGTGTATGTGTAAAGAGAGAGCGTAGGTTTTTTTATGGTAACACCAGAAACCTGGTAATCACTGCATGTAGTCACCTGAGAAGCTCCTTATCTTGTCTCTGGGCATGTTTTTGTCTTTGTCTGTTTACTATTTGCCGTACCACAGCCTCAATGAGGGAGAGAAAGAAAAAAAAAAAGAAAAATAGACCAATTATTACATGACTTATGCTATCATGGGTGCAACTTTGATGTTGTTATCCAAATACCTTTCATGGAAAAAAGGCAAATCAATAAAGCAAGGTTACAACACTCATAGGAATTACGATGTCAGTTATTTTTTCCATTTATTAGTTTTGTAGTCTTTTTCATAACAACACAGATCACCCCTCCACCTCCTGCTTTTCTCTGCCCAAAATCAATTACTTAAGGGGCAATGGTAAAATAATTGAGGGCACATTTAGGCCTTGGAATTAATACATATTTTAAAACGCTGAAAGTTTATTCTGCAACTTTTAACTTTGAGGTGTTAATTTACTTCTGAATTCAAAGGCACATTTTTTTATTATTATTTGGAGGCAGGAAGAGGAGTTTGACAGTCTATTTCATTTGTGCCCTTTTTTCTACTTAAAACAAATCATGTCAACAGCTGCAAAAAAAAAAAAAAAAAAAACTTGCACTAGGTTCAAACCAAATTCTATTACATGCTCACTCAAACACACACACACACAACAAAGATGTTAATAAGAACATAACTAGTCACCTTGATGACAAACAATATTTTCTGTCTTTAGTCCCAATGAAATCTAGGCCATCAAGAGGTTTGTTTTCAAATTAAAAATTCTCCATCTTTCCCAAAGCAACTGAAGGTCATGGTCAAAGAAAAAACAAATAATAAAGCTTTGATTTATTCCCTTTAACAAACGATAACTCTGTTTAAGTTACATTTTCTCTGGCTACAGAGCAATTAGGAATATTTTGGAAAAGTTTGAGGCAAATTCTGCTAATCGGACAATTCAGCAGATTCTTGGCAAACATGCCAGCTTATGGTATAAGAGTATTAAGACGGTGAGGCTGTTGTCAAGAGAAAGAGAGCTGTTGTAGGTAATCCAATTTTTGTGTGTATAGAGCCTTGCAAAAGTATTCCCACCCAATGAATTTCCTTTAGCTCTGTCCCTTGAGAAATACTACTGCGAGTGTTTTCAAACCAGATTTATTTAACAGCTCAACAAAAAAACAGGGTGATAGGGAAGTGGAAGGAATTATTTTTTGTTTTGTATTTGATTTTAACATATATAGGTATGAAAATCCAACTGTTCCTGCATTTGTTTCAATTCTTTCATAGGAGGTCTTCAAAACTTTGCACATCTTGGCATTTCTTCCCCATTCTTCTTTACAAAAAGAACCATGATCTGTAAGACTGCAGAGCATCTTGGAAGATTAGATTTCCTTACTGTGGCTGTGAATAAAGATATACTTTGATCTGAACTATTCAGTTAAAGCTTTTAGATAGCTTTGCCATCGATCTGCTATAAGGTAAAGCTCTGTTTTAGTTCAGGTCCTTTTGCACCCTCCAAAAGGTGTTCCGTTAGTATTTGAATGTATTTATCTTCCCTTTGACTCTGGCAAGTTCATTGTCCCAAGTGAAAAAAAAAACCTTCCCCAAGGCATGATGCTCGTCTCTTGGGGTTTGCGTTTTGAATTCCATTAACACAGAAAAATATGTACAGAAGAACGCCACTGACTTACAAAAAAAAAAATTTAATCACTGAATTTTGTGAATTCTGAATTTAATCCTATAATCTGGATTTACTTTATGTGTTTAGCGATAAACGTTATAGATTCAATCCACTCCATCTCCTTTAGAGATGAACAGCTCCTGACATAGTGTACTAGTTCAGGTCAGACAAGTTCTTGGTAGAATCACACTTGTGCCACAATTTTTCTATTTCAAAGCACTTTTCCCCTGGATGCCTGCAGCATATTTCTCTATGGAGCTGTTAGTCCCTCCAGGGCCTTTACCAAACACCATTTCTTTTTGTTAAGATCACATTACACTGTAGTAAAATATATCTACATAAGCAGGTTGGTGACACACTTTTTACAATGGATTTTATAGAGGATACATGTCTGACTAAATGGAATGGATAAATGCATGCAACATGTGTCTAAACTAGAAACTCTACTTAAAAGCCAAATTATCCTTTCACATCTGCTTTACAACTATACAAAGGGTATCAATACTTATGCAAGGCACGGTTTGTCTGTGCATATACCTGATGCCCTAAAATCAAACACCAAACAAAGGCAATGGGATGCAGGGATCATGTCACTGAGGAGTTTGAAGGGCTTTATAATCACATGGTAAAGCAAACTTTAGCTTTTTCACATTTCCTTTGAGGTCCTTTTTTTTTCTTGATCGCAGTGCCTTTTCTCCCAGTGCTGGATGTAATGATGGCCAGTAAAGAGAAGAGACAAGGGGCTATCTGTAAATCATCATCTCCACTGGACGATCCAAATTCACTGGTAGCGGTCACATAGCTGGAAGAGACAGACAGAAAGAAAAAATAGACAAACAGTATCAGAGTAGTTATTCTCTTACAATGTAATTCTTTATGATGCTGATTAATTAAGATATCAGTTCAATCAGAAATTATACCATGAATCTACTCTTAAACAGTTTGATATCTGGCATCAATTTAATGGCTGTGAAAACTAATAGCGGCCAGTTGTGATCATTAAGAACAATTTATTCTTGCTTCTTCTTCAATATTTCAGTGTGACATACAAATCCTTCACTTGTTCCAATCAGACTTATCTAAATGACTCGGGTTGTTGATCACTCGATCCAACGAGGGTCAGAGGTCAGCCATTTCAAGCAGCTATCAGCGGGTTGCAGGTTGCAGCAGGTGCCATAAAACTGCTGTTTCTTATCAGAAACCTTTGACCCCTCATTAACCCATCGCTGCTGCTTTGACAATTATCACCTGACAATGAGGAAAAGAAATCCTTCACAGCATCCGGTGGGCTCATGCGTTTATTGTTCTTTGGTGTGTTTTAGATTGATTGTCTATTTGTGTGTATGAAACAAAAACAAAATACATTAAGATGTGCTTGAATACATTAAGCAAATAAAAACTATTTAACTGTTTAATAAATTTGTTATAAATTTTACCAGGAAACACTTCCTCAGAATTTTTAAGCATTGTTTATTAAAATCATTTAAGATTATTTAAGTATTTGAATCTTTTCTTGCAGCGTAACAATCAGCAACCCTGTAATGACACTGTATTTAGTCAGAAGTTACGTTTTTGCAGGGTAAAATACATAATACATAAAAAAAATTAAGATTTGATAAATTATTTATGTCTATTTGTCTTAAAAGTTTTTATTTTATATGTTCCTTTACATTTACATTACATTACATTCGTTTAATTGAATATTTTTGGATTAGGTTGCAGCACCTTTGTTCAGTAATATTTTCTGACTGGATATCTGGACTTAAAAGGACAAACTTTTAGGTAGTGGAGTTTATGTTATCACAACCAGATGCGAGAAAATGTTTAAAAAAGAATAAAAAAAACAATTTAAGTGTCAGGATTTTTTTCTAATTAGATGTGGTGACATTCTTTTACCCAAGAATCAATTTTTTGTATTTATGATTTTATGCAAAGCAGGACTAAAAAATAATAATAATAATAATAAAAATTACAACTTAACATTGATAAATATTTCCATCTCCTCCCTTGAGTTTATTTATTGTCTTACTTTCCTCAGGTCAGCAAATGCTCTGACAATTAATAAGTAAAAAAAGGTTGAAATAGCTAGAACTGTGAGAGACAACCCAGGATGAGGACTGAGATTTATATTAGGTTGTCAAAAGGAGTGAGCAAAGAATCCAGACTACACTGTTAGAGAGCCATAGGTAAAGTTAAGATTTTGTACAAACATTCATTATTTTGAAGTGTTTGTTCACAACTTGAAGGGTGCTGTTCCTTCCACTCAGCCCTCGAAGCTGCAGGGCAGAGGCTTTTTAGATAATAGTTATTTTTGTTTCATATCCAAAAGACATAAATTTGACCAAAAAAAAAACAGGAAAACTTTATTCCCAGAGAACAGGATGCAGTATGCATCTGATATATTGTGTTTATGACTTTTTTCTTTCTTATTCAATTGCACAACACCGGGTCAGTAAAATTACTCGTACTCGTACTCGTCTCCCGCTTTATCCGGAACCGGGTCGCGGGGGCAGCAGACTAAGCAGAGACTCTCAGACTTCCCTCTCGATGTGGAGGGGAACCAGCTCTACACTGAGCCTCTTCGGAATGACCAAGCTCCTCACCCTATCTCTAAGGGAGAGCCCAGCCACCCTGCGGAGGAAGCTCATTTCAGCCGCTTGTATCCGGGATCTCGTTCTTTCGGTCATGATCCAGATTTCATGACTATAGGTGAGGGTAGGAACGTAGACCGAACGGTAAATTGAGAGCTTTGCCTTTTCGCTCAGCTCTCTCTTCACCACGACAGACCGGTGCAGCGTCCGCATTATTGCAACAGCCGCACCGATCCGTCTATCGATCTCTCGCTCCATTCTTCCCTCACTCGTGAACAGGACCCCAAGATACTTGAACTCCTCCACCAGTAAAATTACTTCACCACTTTTTGGACTGACAAGAGCTGGAGTTGTACAGACGCTATAACCTTTTTGTCTAAAATCCAGACATCTCTCAAAGTCAATTAAAGTTTTCTGTCTGCAGAATTTTCTGCAAGGACAGAATATTTACTTGCTGTCTAAAACATGCCACTCGCTTTCAACTTGAATTTTATTCAGATGATATATTTTCTTATAGGATTAGTTTTCAGAGAGCATCTTTAGAAAGATCTTTAGTTAGATCTCAGGGTTATAAATCACATTTATGACAATGAAATGAAAATATGGCTGGAAGGTGTAAGATAAAAAGCTGCAAAATGTGTTACCAATTGATGTTTTTTTTAAACTAAATTAACATATAACATTTGTGCTGAAGAGAGTAATAATCAATCAATCAATCAAGCTCTTTGTAGCATGTTTTATACAGTTATCTAACAATTAGTGCTTTACAGGATTTAAATCTACCACCCTCATGCAAAATCCAACAAGCTCATAATGTTTTAAAAATCATTGAATGCCTCAGTAAACGAGCTGCTTATGGCAAGGGCCGTATCAAAAATTAATGTTTTAAAATCTATACATTTTCAGGGAAAAAAACACAGTTCTTTTTAAATCTTTAACTACTTGTTGGAACAGAGAGTTAAGCTGATCAGCTGACCTCAGAGTTCTTGATTTTATAAGGGAGGATAATTGAGATGAGTGAGGCTCGGTTTATACTTCATACATTGTACAGGGCGAAAGTGTATACGTGCCAATGTTCGCATCGCTGTCATGATGCCTGCATGTGCATCTCTGAATTTGTGGAAGTTGGCATGTGCTGTTCTTCATTCAGAATGAATGACAAGTCAACATTTCATCCACATAAAAAAATCACTTCTTTAAAAACACAAGAAAGAGGATAGACAGGATATACTACAAACAAAAACAATTAAACAAAACTAGACATGAGGTACAAAAGATTGTACTGTATACATTAACTGTTATTATTAGCATGGTTTAAAAACTTCTCAGCTTTTTTCTGTAGGACTAAGTTGTATCTAGGATCCTTTACAAAGAGCTTAAAATGGGTTTTATAAGAAGGAAATTTTGCATGAAGCAGTGTCAGGTTATTAATCATTTATGTTAACTGCAGAAATACTCAGATGATTGCATGCATTGGGTGTATCATGAGATGGACAAGAAGCTCAGTAAAGGGAGCTTGCAAATTATGCATCAATTAACTATGTATCTTTCATTTGGTGTTGCTCTTTCTTAGTTTAGGTGACAAACCATAAACAAAACATGTGTGGACACATTCGTGGACACTTTACATTTGTGGACACTTTACATTTTACTTAATAAAATATGCCAGGGAGTTGCATATTTGTTCCTTATTAATTAAGATTGTTATTTTAAGCTTAAATATTCAGCCTGTATATGGTTTTCTGTGATGCGTCATTATGAGGGTGAGCCTATGAGAAGTGGGCAAAACGCAGTTCCCGTCCTATTATTTTTGGAAAAGCAAGGCTCCTAATTAGAGATGACAAGGCATGGGATGCCAAAAGATGAATGAAAACAGTGCACATTTTAAAAGATATCTTAAGCTATGCCAAGAATGGAGCATGAGTGCAGATCCAATCCAGAAACAAAAATCAAACTGGAGGCCCACAAGTCTGAGAGACAACAAAGTCTCTTTAGTAACTATTTTAGAACTTTTAGGGATGACGGAATTAGATGAACAAAGACAAAATGTCTTAATGTAATTTTTCTTTCATAATAATATATTAATCTAGTTTTTTTTTTTTTATAATTTTTTAAGATTAAAAATAAACACTTAAAATGTGTGTTTCCTCTTGTTGATAAGTTTCTTTTTCTTTTCTACTTTTAGAGTGAAGCCGTCTCACTTAACAGCCTAATCAGAGCTCTTCACCCAGCCAGCTACCGTTACTTTATAATTGATTTAAAATTTAGATTGTTTTACTTAGATCAAATAGCTCATGCATCATTTTGTTGTGAAGGTTTTTATTTGATTACCCAGATTAAGTGACTAGTTAACAAGAATATTTGTTATAATCATGTGATTGCCAAGTACATTTTGACACCCACTACTCCCTCCACATTTACTAGCACCATTAATAAGCAAAGATGCACATAATTATAAAGATATATTCAGATTATAGGAAAAACACACTGAAAAAAAAAAAATCAGATTTGGTCCCAACAGGAATTTAATGATTTCAGCTAAATAAGTGGTCCACCTAATGGTCAATCATGCTGGTGTTATGTTTATTTAAGACATATGCTTTGCTGTCCGCGCAAAGCATATGAGATTTGCTTTCACAGTGGCCTGCTGTCGCCATAGGCTGTCTCTACCCAACAGTGGCGAGTAATAACAAAGATGGCACAGGCACAACGCAGTAGAGGAGGAGTTACATGACCAACGGGGAGCAAATAGCAGTGATCATCTGGCCAAACCGTAAGTTAACTGAGTTCACTATGAAGTCCACTATATAGTCCCCACTCTAAATAGTGATTGAGGGATTTAGGGGTTAGAGCAGATGTTAGGGCTCAGTAAGCTTGTATGAGCTATGAGAACAGCAACTTTTAAACAAAGCTTGCACAAGGAGAAACGGGCTGGTGCATGCTCTCACACATGTTTAATTGGCATTCCCTCTCGAGAGCAGGTACAGGGTTGTGCATTTGCATTTTTTCAAAGTGGAGAGGGCGGGTCTTTTAAAATATTTGCATAAAATCTTCTACTATACCTTTAAAAAAAAGAAGGTAAATAGAATGTATTAAATTAGGTTTAAGTATTCGTCGAGAGGAGCCAGTTGAGGTGGCTCGGGCGTAACCCTGGTGAGGTGTTCCTCCGTGTGGGATGGACATGTCCCCCCGGGATGAGGCCCAGGGGGAG